TTTCTCATATGACATTTGCTTCAACCATAGATAAATGATCTAAAAAAGCTTGTCCTGCTGGTTTCTGTTCGTCTTGAACGGGTAACGTCGATCTTTTACGCTTTGCTGGTGCCATCAAGTAAATAGTAAGATAAATAATAATTATCAATGTAGACAAAATAGAAGACGAATGATATGAAATAGAACAAAATGAATATCGCTATTTATAATACAATCAATACAATGAACAATGATTCTTTTCGAACGTGTGCACATCTACTTGATAGAACATTCAGAGTATGATCAATCAACACTCAACAGCGAGAACATACAACGGCCATATGTATCACAACATATGTAACTTTTTCTTCTTCTGTATGTGGGCATATATACTTCATCTTTTTATTAAACCACACCTACACCCTCTCGAATTGACACTTACTAATAGTACACACCGACAACAACACGAACTAGGAGCAGTACGCTCATTGACTATATATGTCCCTTTCGTGCCTGTATCCCAACAATCCTCATCTGCAATAGTAAATTTCACTACGTTGCCTAAGCATCCAGTATTTTATTCATCGAAACAGCACATTTGTTATGCATTTAGTGAAAAAATTCTAATGTGACATGTAAAACAGTTGCATAGCTGCTTATGAATATAGTTTACAATTTATGAAAGTCCAGACACGCTCCAATTCGATATAACTACAAACCAGTCTGAATGTTATCGTCACATACGCAGATAAGAGCAGCAGTTATAACACCACCATAAGTATAAGTAGTAGTAAGAACAACGCATGTGCTATGTTGACGACGCTTGAAATACTTGCAAAATTTACCATTGCTATAACTGTATTTGTCATTTTCATTCCACTTCTTGCAATTCTGAATCCACTTCCAGCTGTTAGAATCAGTGTAGTACCAGTCACGGCATTTTCCACATTTAGCACAAGGACGACCTTTACAAATAAGTTGCTTGTAAGTACCAGGTGTAGCAAATTCTTGTTGTTCTAAATGAAAATGGTTGGTATTCAGAATGATTTCAAAGTATAAGTGGAAAAAAGTGGTGATCGAACTTCTTTTCCGTCATACTAATCTATGCTCATACTCATTCACAGAGATGGGCAAGTCAGACGTTTTCACAAGTCAAGTCAAGTCAAGTCATTTGTCGCGGAAACCAAGTCAAGTCAAGTCGCAAACCAATTCAAGTCAAGTCATGTTTCAAGTCAAAACTTATTATAGAAAATCCTTCTATTGAATAAAACTTTGGAATACAAATTTTCGGTTACTTAGAGTTAGTTTTTAGCAAAACTCTCATTTTTAACTATATTTATCTTTTAGATTTTGATTCTGTAATAAGACTAGTAAAATACAAAAAAAAGTATATTGAAACCTCTTCATATATGCTTTTTGACTTGACTTGAGTTTATCGCTTAATCTCAAGTCAAGTCAAGTCAAGCCAAGTCATATCTGTTCTCAAGTCTAGTCAAGTCAAGTCCAAAAGTGACTTGACTTGCCCATCTCTGCTCATTCATCTTGAATATAATGAAGATACATATAGAATATCAAGATCTACTTTTTCTTATCATAAGAGAAATTTCTTAAAGAAGTAACTAAAACGTGTTTGCTATGATGTAGATTCATTATTGAAGAATTTTTTCATACATACTTTTTTCCTCTGATTTGTTGTTCGATATTGACAGACTAAAAGAAAAAGAAAAAAGTTAGTTATCGTATCATAAATTCATTTTATTAAAACTTGTCTAGTTAGGACATGCTAAAATTAGCAGTGAAAGTTCCTAAGTTTTTGAGATAAAGCTTGAAGAACTTTTCATTTCTAATGCGGTGATAGAGCGAACAATGCTCTACCTACGTATCGTATTTAATCTTTCTTCAACTAGCATCGTAGTAATAAAACTACGATAGAGAGAGATTTATTGCTAAATGTAACGGTTATATTTATTTCATTAAAAAAAGTGGCTAAATTGTTTTTGAATAATTTTTAATAGGCACTGGAAAAGAACTATGGTTGTCACGACTGTAAAAGAAGATGAAGGCGCATCAAACTATGTATTCCAAGTAGATCTAATAAATACTTGATAGGTGAAAGTTTATTTTAAACAACTGACATCGTCGGCTGCTTCCAGAAATATCGGCTAGAAATTTAATTAAGAAATCGTATAATGTAAAACTCAATATATTTTCATCTTCTCAATAGAAAAGATCGCTTTTTTTTAACGTATACGTATCATAAGTTTTCTAATATAGATGTATCTAATACATTTCATAATAAACAGCACTTTATGAAAATTTTATATATACAATGTCAATTAAAGAGTGATTAAATAACACAAAAAATAAAGCATTATTTACTCTATTACTACATGGAAACAAAGAAAGATTCTTGTACGGAAGTAGAGCATTTGCGTCACTGTTTTTGTAACATACTAAGTATAAAGTATTTCTTCGGTGACGAAATTTCATATCTCTCATCTTTGTACGACAGATGATTCTAACTTCCATAAACATTATAACAATTAATACTGATTTTATCATATTAATTACCTCATATTTCTTTATAGAAATTTATACAAAAAGAAGAAAATATTGGTATTCTATAATAGTTATTTTGTTTTCAATGATTTCTATATTTCAGCGTGGTAGTAACATTTAAAAAGAGATTTTTAACATCATTTGTTCTTATTTTATCTACAAAAAAATAGCAAAAAGAATCAATTTTATTCGATAAAAATAGTATTATCGCCGAAAATGCCAAAGTTTTGACGACGAAGTAGTTTTAATTACAATGTAATCTATAGAAATTATAGATGTTTCAATGTGATTACAAAATAAAACTCTAGACTAAAGCTACTTGCAAAATCTATCTCTGTGATACAATTAAAAGCAACTACTCTACCTGTCCTTCGGCGCAATAATTGGTGACGGATTGGCTGTAGCAGTTGTTGATATTTTTGGAACATCCTTAAAAGATTAAAATTAATGCTTTTATTTCACAGTGAAGTTAGAACAAGATACTCACTTTTGATACAGGTTCAAGAAGAGGATATGGTGGTTCAATTTCTTTAAGGTGTATCATGTAAAGACCACTTGATGGATTAAGACTTGAAACAACTTTAAATTGTCGACCAGGTGGAAGAAGAACTTCATCTTCAGTTTTAAATAATGAATGTTGTTGAATATCTTTACCATTGATGCATTCAATGGTAAAAAAAGTTCTTGTGCCTGTCAAACGTAAGAACTGTTCATTTTCCAAAACATCCATAGTTGCTGTACAGGAACTGAATCCCCACCAAATAACTGTTTCTCCTTTTTTATAATATTTGCGCATATCACCATTGACTCCACGAAAAACAGTACGTTGTAATGATGGAAGTTTTGATAAAGCCGTAAGAACCAGTTTTAAGTAAAGAAACCATGGGACTAAACTTTTCCGATCTTCAGCACGAAGAGTTTTGTTTAAGACATAATAAAAGCTCTTTTCGTATGGATACCATTGCAGCGAATAAAGTATGATTGAAGCTGATTCATCTTTTGAAAGATGATCAGCAGGCGGATTGCGACATTTCTCTTTGGCTACGTATGCCATTCGCTTGACATCGGGCACGAATTGAACTAATGGTTCAACTGCGTCTTCGAGTGACACAAGAGGCTTTTTTTCATAACCTTGGATGGGTAATAACATTTCACAAGTTTCTTCAGCAACGTCGAAAAAACGTTGATTATGTTGTGATCCATCATCATCATGATCAGAGGATTTTTTAGCCATTGTTGAAATTGAAATTAATATGAATTCTACAAGAAAACAATTAATAAATTGATTTTTGAGGGTGTGGCTGTAAATGTGAATGTAAGTGTAGGAATGATATTCACATCCACAGGCTCAGTTACATATTGTACAGTTCAGTTACAAAAGACTCATATAGAGAGAAGCAACTACATACAAATGTTATGAGACATTCGTTATATATTTTTTTCTGTAACATCAATAGAATATATGATTAAACGCAGTAGCTTCGTTTTTCACTTCATTAGACAACTATGTGTGTGCGTCGAGAAGATAAATCAGATTAAAACAAAAAGAAATCTATGAGACAGATGAAAGTAAAAATTCATAAGAAACATGTGAATATATATTTTTAAATGAATTTTGACTATTTTTTTTTGACACAATCAAGCGAGATGTATATTCTTAATGTGCACACATTAAAATATTTAATTAAAAATGTAACGAGAATTTTGTTGTTCTACCGAAATCTGACACTTTTATGATAGAAATCTGAGATATTTTCAAAAAGAACTCTGCTATAGCATCGAAAGCAATTTGGCAAATCAAAAAAATCAGTTGTCTCCTCCTCGTTCTAAAAGGGACGGTATATAATTAATAAAATTAATCGTAAATCTAATGTTCTTTTACTCTGAAATTAGCACTGTCATTAACAAAACTTTAGACATTCGAAAGATAATCATTTAAACAAAAAATATTCATCGGAACTCACCTTACTTTTTTTGTTGTTGATTGATTGAATAGTGTATTTAGCAAGAAGCAGTGTGCGTTTTGAGTAACTGTTTCGTTCTTTTCTTTTTCTCACATAGTTTTCAAGGGTTGCAAAATTCAATTGTAATAGTGACTATACACTGTAGGAATGATGATTACATGTTTTTCTTTCGTATTACAACCATCATAGCAACAAACAGAAAGCAAAAAAGAACTGAATTATTATTTTAACAGCAATGGCTATAATGAAGGTGGAAAAATATATTATTTGAGCAGTTGAGAAGTATGAAAATGTTTGTAACCAACTATTTTAGGTGTGGGTGTGAGT